TCTTTCCTTACAGTTTATTTGCACTTCACAGTAGACATTTTTTCCTCCAGTGCAGCCATAGAGCCAGGTCTGGCACATACTAGGCAAGTGCTCTACCACTGAGACCAGTCCAGCCCACATCAACATTCTTATCTGCCACCTGATCTCTTCCTGAAGGTGGCTGCCCTCTCCCTAGGCTTTTCGTGCTTCTCAGCGACCCTGTAGGAGGAGTGAACCCAAGCCCCTTGACTTAGAACCCGTGTGTGTCTAGATTGGTATGTCCCCCGCAGAAGCTCACTATGACATCTGCCTTATGCCCTGTTTCCCCCAGTTATTCTGCCACGTGCAGCGGCTCATGCAAGCCTTCCTGAACCTGTACTCTGCGGGAAACATGCTGTTCCGGACCTGGACTGCCGAGGTCTCCTGCTGCCCCAGGAATGGCGTCTCCATCCGCATGGACTTCCACTTGGAGTTGGTGAGGCAGCTGACAGAGAGTGGGGACGTCCCCCGGCTCCTGGAAGCCCTCTGCAGGCAGATGGAGCGCTTCCTGGATGACTGGAAGGAGCTGGTGAGCAGGAAGCGTAGAGAACACTTCTACCTCAACTTCTACACGGCCGAGCAGCTGGTCCTCCTGAGCACCGAGCTCAGGAAGCAGAGTCCCAGCGAAGCTGCCCTCATGATGCTGTCGTTCATCAAAGACAACTGCACCCCAGCCGACGTCTTAAGGGCCACCAAGGGGTTCAGTGAGGCCCCCAGACACCATGTGAGGACAGTGATGGAAAAGTTACCTCCGTTGCAGTCCTCTGAGATCAGCCTGGTGACCAAGCTGGGGGCCATCATGGAACAGTCCCTGGAGAGCATGAGTGTCTTTCTGCCTGGCTGCCTGGACCTGGAGGCCCTGGGCCATTGTCTGGTTCGCCTGGCCAGGATGGGCAGGCCTCCTGTGGAGCGGTCTCTCCCCGTGGGTCTGCAGGCTGGCCAGCCCAACCTGGTCTTGTGTGGCCACTCTGAGGTGCTGTTGGCTGCCCTGGCCATCTACATGCAGGCCCCAGGCCAGGCCCTGCCCACTTTCGATGAGGTGCTACTCTGTACCCCGGGGACCACATTTGAGGAGGTGGCCCTGTTCATGCACCGCTGCCTGGCCCCGGTTTCCCAGGGGCACAAGGTCTACAGCCTGCTGTTTGCGGACCAGCTGAGCTACGAGGTGGCCTGCCAGGCAGAGGCCCTCTTCCGCAGCCTGTCCACACAGTGTCCCCGGGAGGACTACCAGCTGGTGCTGGTCTGCGACGCGGCACGGGAATGCTGCTACCTGCCCTCAGCCTTCAGCCAGTACAAAGTCCACCTCATCCCCCAGGCACCCCTCCATGCCATCCAGGCCTACCTGGCACATCACTACCAGGTCCCAGCACAGACCCTGTCGGCGGCAGCTGTGTTCAGAGACCGGATGTGTGTGGGGATCGTGGCCTCAGAGAGAGCCGGAGTTGGTAATGAGAGCGCTGGGGTGGGCAGGCAGTCTCTCAGGGCTTCCCAATGACCTCCGCCTCTGCATCAGTGGGCAGCTCAGATGACACCCCTCTGCAGGTGGGAAAGTGAGTCTCAGGAGGGTCTGACTCCCTGCGGTCAGTGCTTCCTCTAGAAGGGGCCCCCTTTCCACCCAGGTTGCAGTTCCCGGGAGCCCAGCTCCTCCTTGGATGGACTTCTCTGCAGGTCACTTTTTTCTTGTGTAAACTCTTGACCTCTTCTGGGTCACATTGGTGTGATCAGAGGAGGCACAGCTGCTCTGGCTCCAGGAGAAGAGTGCTTTGCACCCTCCCTTCAGTCACTGTCATGTGTCCTTAATAAGAGGTGGTGACTTCCATTCTGTTGACTTCATCCTGTGAGCATCACTGTGCCTTGTCAGGACAAAACCTCCCCTCCCCTCCCTGCTCGGGACATGCCTCTGCTTTTACTTTAGTATACTTCCACTGCTGTCATCATGGAGAATGCCAGGATGCTGAGTGGGTGACAGCTGGGGACTCTGGCTTCACGGTGGAGTTGTGCTCCAATCTGATGTTCCATTGCATCAGTTTTGATTTTTACATAGAGAAGTAACTGTTTTTTTTAAATGAGGATTTATCTCAGGGGTGCCCTATCACTGAGCCATATCCTCAGCCTTTTTTATTTTTAATTTTGAGACATGGTCTCACTAAGTTGTTTAGGGCCTCACTAAGTTGCTGAGGCTGGCCTTGAATTTGCAATCTTCCTGCCTCAGCCTCCCAAGCTCCTGGGATTACAAGCGTATGCCACTGCTCTTGCCTAAGAAGTAACTTCTAATCTCTCTGGATTCTGTTCCTCTTGGTCCATGGGCTTGGGATCTCATTTCCTTATTTTAACATTACAGGGAAGTCTCTCTATGTGAAGAGATTGCATGAAAAACTGAAAAAGAAGTTAAATAGTGAAAAGGTGCCTTTAAAGATTGTTCGGTTGACTGACACTCAGGTGGATGAGGGCCGCATCCTGGGCTCCCTCCTGTCTTTCTGGGATGCTCAGTTTTGGAAAACGCCTATGATATTCCACTTTGATGTGACTGCTTCGGTAAGTGCTTATATGGCAGCTGAATGGCCACATCAGAAGGTGTAATTCCAAGGGCCCCACTTGCTTCTCCCTGTATGAAGAGTCCCTTCTTTTTACACCTACCTGTGATCAGCACCCTTCTCTTCAGGAACAAGACAGGAGGGTCCTGGGAGTTGGAAGAAATGGTTGGCACTTGTGTATTTTTCAACCCATGCTTCTCTGTCTTTAGGTACAGACTGGAACTTGGGTTTTTCTTTTCAAACTCCTCATTTTACAATACCTAATGGATATAAGTGGGAAAATGTGGCTTCGGAACCCATGCCATTTATATATCATTGAAATCCCCGTAGGAAATTCAGTACTGCCAAAGAGGTCTTCAAAGCTGGTAAGCACACAGGGCATTTGCAGGTGATCACAGCACACCTTTGCTGCTGTGGCCTGTGGCCTGAGTTGACACATCTTAATTGTTTCCCACTTTCATGTTCAGGGAGCAGCGAGTATGTGTAAGGCAAAGTGCATGCTTAGACTTAGATCTTAATGATGTCTGGAATGAGAATGCTCTCGTATTTATTGATTGGCAGCGTCTTGCATTTGTCTGGATCTGTCAGATCCATGGTGTGTCTGGGTTGAGTCTCACCCGTGCTGAGTGTTCAGGAGATTCCTCTGTTGAGGGCCATTGTCTCTTTTACTGCCAGTGAAGATCACAGGGCGACTTTGCACACAGAAAGCCGTTAGCTGGTGGGAGTTCTATGGTCGCACATGTGTTCGTGCTTGGAGGAGAGATCACGCCACAGGAGGCTGGGTTGGAAATGGATTCCTGGTTAATGATACAGCTACTGTAGTTGAGCTTCTTTAATACCCTAAGGTGCAGATGCCAGCCTCTGTGAATGAGAGGCTGCAGAATGCAAGCAACCACTGTGTATTTAAGTGATTGTTTTCATAAAGGCCGATCCTGAGTAGATCGCGTGGAGGGTTAATGTATATGGGTATCTTTCAGGAAATCAAGTTCTAACTTCTATTTATGTCTCTCCTTTGCAGAATCCACATGCCCCCCAGTTCAGTTTTCTTGACATCTTCCCCAAAGTCACCTGTAGACCTCCCAAAGAAGCGATAGACATGGAGCTGAGCCCCGAGAGAAGCTTCCTGGAGCCTGGAATGGACGAGCGAGAATTCCGCAGTGCCACTTTCCAAAGACCTTACCAATATTTAAAAAGATTCCATCAAAAACAAAACCTGGACACATTTCAATACCAAGCAGGCTCTGTTGAAGGTACCCCAGGGGAGTGCATCCAGCACCTCCTCATATATTGTGGGGTCATCAACCCCTCCTGGTCAGAGCTCCAGAACTTTGCTCGGTTCCTCAACTGTCAGCTCAAAGACTGTGAGGCCTGTATGTTCTGTAATCCAGGCTTTACTGGATTTACACTTCCAGGCTTCAAGAATTTTGTGGTCACCTTCATGATCTTCATGGCAAGAGACTTTGCCACACCAACACTTCATATCTCTGACCAGAGCCCAGGGAAGCACATGGTCACCATGGATGGGGTTGATGAGGAAGAGCTCGCCCCCTTCACTCTCCGGAGGAGGTGGGAGTCAGAGCCTCACCCATATGTGTTCTTCAATGGTGACCGCGAGACCATGACATTCATAGGCTTCCATCTTCGGCTCAATGAGAATGGCAGCGTTGACGCCATCAACCATCTCAATGGGAAGATAATCAAGAAAGATGTCATGACAGAAGAACTGTACAAGGGGCTGTTGCTTCAGAGGGTGCCCTTCAATGTTGACTTTGATAACCTGCCCAGACATGAGAAACTTTTGAGACTCTGCCGACCACTAGGAATTCCTCAGGCCCTTGATCCCGATGAAACATATGAGCTTACCACAGACAACATGCTCAAGATTCTGGCCATTGAGATGCGATTCCGCTGTGGGATCCCAGTTATCATCATGGGAGAAACAGGCTGTGGGAAAACCAGGCTCATTAAATTCCTTAGTGATCTGCGGCGTTGTGGTGCCCAGGCTGAGACCATGAAGTTGGTCAAGGTTCATGGAGGAACAACCACAGCCATGATCCACTCCAAAGTCTTGGAGGCTGAGAAAACTGCCTTCTTCAATAAGGACCAACACCAGTTGGACACCATCTTGTTCTTTGATGAAGCCAACACAACTGAGGCCATAAGCTGTATTAAGGAAGTCTTGTGTGACCGGACCGTGGATGGCCAGCCCCTGGAGGAGGACTCAGGCTTGCACATCATAGCTGCCTGCAACCCTTACAGGAAGCACTCCCGGGAGACCATCTGCCGTTTGGAGTCGGCTGGTTTGGGGTACAGGGTCAGTGCCAAGGAGACGGCAGACAGGCTGGGCTCCATTCCCCTCAGGCAGCTGGTGTACCGTGTCCACGCCCTGCCCCCCAGCCTGATTCCTCTGGTGTGGGACTTTGGGCAGCTGAATGACACTTCAGAAAAGCTCTACATCCAGCAGATTGTGCAGAGACTGGTGGACCACGTCAGGATCAGCGAGGACGAGACTCGTGTGATCACGGAAGTGCTCTCTGCCTCTCAGAGGTTCATGAGGAACACTAAAAGTGAGTGCAGTTTCGTCAGCCTCCGGGACGTGGAGCGCTGTGTGAAGGTGTTTACGTGGTTTCATGGCCGCAGCGAGATGCTCTTGGAGAAGTTGAACACCTTTCTCTGCGAGTCCCGTGCCAGCAAAAATAACTTCAGGAGAGACCCCGTCCTCTGGTCCCTGGTGCTGGCAGTGGGGGTCTGTTACCACGCCTCCCTAGAGGACAAGGAGTCCTACCGCAGAGCCATTTGCAGGTCCTTTCCAGAACCATATGACGACGGCAGGGTCATCCTGGACGAGATCACACACGCACAGGATCTTTTCCTGAGTGGGGTGCCTCTGAGGAAAACCATAGCCAGGAACTTGGCTCTGAAGGAGAACGTCTTCATGATGATCATCTGCATTGAGCTGAAGATACCCCTCTTCCTGGTGGGAAAGCCTGGCACCTCCAAATCTCTCGCCAAGACCATCGTGGCAGATGCCATGCAGGGGCAGGCCGCGCACTCCGCTCTCTTCCGCAGCCTGAAGCAGGTCCACCTGGTGTCCTTCCAGTGTAGCCCCCACTGCACCCCACAGGGCATCATCAACACCTTCAAGCAGTGCGCTCGCTTCCAGCAGGGGAAGGACCTGCAGCAGTACGTGTCTGTGGTGGTGTTGGATGAGGTCGGCTTGGCAGAAGATTCCCCCAAAATGCCCCTGAAGACTCTGCACCCCCTGCTGGAAGACGGGTGCATTGAAGACGATCCGGCCCCCCACAAAAAAGTTGGCTTCATAGGTATTTCCAACTGGGCCCTCGACCCTGCCAAGATGAACCGGGGCATCTTTGTGTCCCGCGGCAGCCCCAGTGAGAAGGAGCTCATAGAGAGTGCCAGGGGGATCTGCTCTTCAGACAGCCTGGTGCAGGACAGGGTCCGAGGGTACTTCGCTCCTTTTGCCAAGGCCTATGAAACAGTGCGCAGCAGGCAGAACAAGGAATTCTTTGGGCTTCGCGACTACTACAGCCTCATCAAGATGGTCTTCGCCACCGCCAGAGCATCTAACAAGAAGCCTTCTCCACAGGATATTGCACATGCAGTCCTTCGGAACTTCAGTGGCAAAGATGACATCCCCGCTTTGGACATCTTCATGGCCAGTTTACCTGAGGTCAGGTACGTAGGAGAGCTCAGGACCCTGGAGCTCATCAAGCAGAACATTTTTAGGGATATGAAGACGGCAGCAGTGGGGGAGCTGGAAGAAGCTGAATCCCGCTACTTGCTTGTGCTGACCAAAAACTACATGGCCCTGCAGATCCTGCAGCAGTCATTCTTCAGTGAGGACCAGCAGCCCGAGATCATCTTTGGTTCCAGTTTTCCCCGGGACCAGGAGTACACCCAGATCTGCAGAAACATCAACCGGGTGAAGATCTGCATGGAGACCGGCAAGATGGTGGTGCTGCTGAACCTGCAGCACCTCTACGAGAGCCTGTACGACGCGCTCAACCAGTACTACGTCTACCTCGGGGGCCAGAAGTACGTGGACCTCGGGCTCGGCACCCATCGCGTCAAGTGTCGGGTCCACCCCGACTTCCGCCTGATCGTCATCGAGGAGAAAAATGTGGTGTACGAGCAGTTCCCCGTGCCCCTCATTAACCGGCTGGAGAAGCACTACCTGGACCTCAGCTCGGTGCTGCAGGGGTGGCAGAAGAGCATCGTGCAGGAGCTCACGCGGTGGGCAGAGCAGTTTGCTGACGTGAAGGCCCATCAGTTCCTGGCTGGGCACAAGTACAGCCCTGCTGACGTCTTCATCGGCTACCACTCCGACGCCTGTGCCTCTGTGGTGCTGCAAGCTGTGGAGAGGCAGGGCCCCGGGGACCTGACACAGGAGCTGTATCACAGAGTATCTGAGGAGGCCAAGCTGATCCTGCTGGACTGTGCCACACCAGATGCTGTGGTGCGGCTGAGCACCTCCACGCTGGGCTCATTTGCTGCACAGACCCTGTCCCAGGAATACTGGAACAAGCAGCAGCACCACTCCTTTGCAGATTTCCTCCAGGCCCAACTTCACAATGCGGACCTGGAGCGCCACGCCATCTTCACAGAGGTGACTGCCCCCACAGCCTTTCCTTTATCTTTCACCCAAGAGTCCTTGCTCTCTGGTGCCTGAAGGTCTCAACTCCGTTTAAGGCACTGTTCAGTCTGGAAAACCGGTATGTCCCCTCCATGTTAGGCACAATGAGGATAAGTCCATTTTGGTCTCTCACCTGTTTGTGAGCAGAGCTCTCCTCTGACAGCAGCACTGGGCACAACTTCACTTCCCAGAGTGCTGGGCCCACCCTGGATATAAGTGATTGTCCTGCTTCTCATCCTTGGACAGCCTAAGAGTGATGGACGAGGATGCCTCCCCTTCAGGTGCCCTTAGTGTCGCAGGTGAAAGCTGCGCAGCCAGGTGGGGGCATGGATCATAGGGGGTTCTCCTTAAAAGTCACGGGCCGGCTGTGAGGGCTGGCTGGGTATGCGTCAGAGGCAGAGGGATCCTTGGGGCACAGGTGTTGAGTCTGAATTTGCATCTGTGCAGGAGACCAGGAAGGGACTGCTGACAGAGCTTGAAATTCAGGCTGTGAGTGCTGGGTTGTGGGGATGGGATAGGTGGAGAGACATGTGGAGGGCCTTGTGGACAGCCTTGAGCTTGGTCTTGGCTGCACAGAGAGGAGCTATGGATGAAAGTGTACGTAGACATGCCCCGATGACTGGGTGATGGAAACACAGTGGAGTAAGAGAGTGACATTGAGAGGGTAGACCTGTCAGGACGTTCTGGCATGGTGCAAACTGCAAATGGTTAGCTGGCAGCATGGCTGGGCCAATCATCAATTCCATGGAGGGTGGCAGGAGGTGGAGGACAGCCTTCCTGAGCTCACTGTCGCTTTGTGCTATCATCACGGAGACCCCAGGAAGGAGCGATGGGTTTGGGAGCCAGCGGTGACCTCTGTTTTGAATAGGTTTGGATGTCTGCTGTGTGGTTGGATGTAGGAATAGGAAGCTTGTCAGTAAGGACAGGCCCAGAGAAGGGGACTAGATCCAGGTGGAGTGGCACATGCCTGTAATCCCAGTGGCTTGGGAGGCTGAGGCAAGAGGATTGAGAGTTCAAAGCCAGCCTCAGCAACTATCGAGGCCCTAAGTAACTTAGCAAGACCCTGCCTCAAAATAAAAACTAAAAGGAAGGGCTGGATTATTGCTCAGTGGTTAGACACCCCTGCATTCAATCCCTGGTACAAAAAAAAATGGGGTCTGGAGAGCTGAGGTCCTATGTGCCTGGTGATGTGCACTATGGGGTGTGGTCCATGGCAGAGAATGGAGAACTATTGAGAGGAGGGAGCAGTGGCTAACTCCTGATAGCATGAAATAAGATTACAAGAAGAAATGGCATTGTGCTGAGCCCTAAAGGATCAGGAGGCTCCCAGGTAGGGAAAAAAGCAAGAAGAGAGACATTGACATCTCAGGAGGAGAGCAAGGCATCTTTTAGTCGGGGCAAGTCTTCTCTCGGCCATCTGTTGACCCTGGGGTTCTGCTTGCCTCAGCCACTCCTTGTATAGAAAAACTGCTCTGGGTTGGGCTTCTTTCTGTCTGAGTGCCCACTGGCCCTGGGTTCTGACCTGGTGCTCTGTGCTCTTGCTTAAATTCAGCTGATGGCTTGTGTGCCCATGTTGCAGGTCACCACCTTCTCCAGACTGCTGACGAGCCACGACTGCGAGGCCCTAGGGGCAGAGGTGAAGGGCTTGGCCCCGAAGCCTGTGATCCTGTCACTGCAGCAGTTCGACACTGAGTACTCGTTCCTCAAGGAAGTCCGGTGAGGCGCCCTGCCTGCCCATCAGCCTTGGCCCCTGCCCTGGGAACGTGGTATCGCATGCCAGGGTGTGGTAACCACTTGTAAGGAACTCTGAGTACTACGGAGGCTCATTGCTCAGCCTTCTCCTATGCCCCTCTGGCCCCAGTTGTAAGACAGCTGTGTCCATCTGCCTCCTGAGCACTGTGTGGCCCTTTCCTTCTCCAGTGGATTGCATCCTCACCTTGTGGAGGGAGACCCCGACTGGACGCTGGGATCTGCATGGCCTATGTTTCCCTTCACTTTGTGGAGTGTTGTGATCCATGTTTTTTGTTTTGTTTTGTTTTTTGCTTGTGCTGGGGATTGAACCCAGGGCTGCTCTACTACTGAGCCACATCCCCAGCCCTAATTTTTTTTATTATTAATTCTGAGATAGGGTCTGGCTGTGTTGCTGAGGCTAGCCTGGAACTGGTGACCCTCCTACCTTAGCCTCCTGAGCTCTGGCTGCCCATGTTTTAGGACAGAGGACTCACTGGGGTGATTCTCTTTTTCTTTCAGAAGCAGCTTAATGAAGACAGCCAGACGTAAAATCCTCATTGCCCAGATAGATTTTGATGATGGAGCTCACAGTGCTCAACTCATTGCATCAGCTAAGTATGTTCTCAGTAGTTTTCTAGGAAAACATAGGAAGCCAAAATCTCCCCAGGACATCCTGAAGAATTTTTTCCATGAAAACAGTGTGGAAATAAGAATGACTCTCCCTCCCAGCTCCTGACATGGGCTAGAGAAGCTAGAGAGTAAAGGATGAAGGAAAAGGCCAGTAATGGCACAGAAATTGTGGAATGCAAGACGCGTCAATAATGAAATTTTTGTAGTGTTTAGGAGGATGTGTTAAAGCTGCATTTGCAGTCATTTACAGTCCTTTTTTGATCATTTTGATTTTGAATCACATAATTAAAATTAAAATTCAGTCTGAGATGTAGCTTGGTGGCACAGCACTTGCCTAGCATGTCTGAGGCCCTAGGTTTGATCCCCAGTACTGCCTACAAAGAAATAAAAGAACTTATCATAAGTTTAAGGGCAGTAAGACTATATAAATAAATTAATATTTATTGAACATTTTTGTGGTGTTCATAAATCTGTTGCTTTCATAATTGCTGTGTTCTGTTACCTCATGTAATTAAGAGTGACTTCTGCCCCTTTAAAGCACTTGGAGCCTAGTACAAGTTAAGGCCCAGCCAGATCCTATAGGGAGGTGGTCTGCGGCCACTGGGTGTGCAAGGGCCACCGTACCACACTGTACTTTCTCAAAATGGGAAGGCCAGTAAGCCCCAACCTCTGCCATGTGGGTGCCCTGAGACCTGCAGGGCGGGTGGGGATTCTGATCAGCAGTGAGAGGTAGGAAGTGATCCTGCCAATTGGAAGCCACCCTTCTCCTCTCATGAGAGATGCGGTGGCCCCTGGCATTGTGTGGAATGTGGTAAAGCCCCAACAGCTCCTGGGACACGCAGCAGCCATCTCACACCTTAGCTTTTGCTCCATTGCTTGCTTTGTTTTGATTTTTGTTTTCTCAATAGGTATTCTGCTATTAATGAAATCAACAAAATACAAGGAACTCAGGGCTGCGTCTTCGTCTATTTCATCACAAAACTTTCCCGGATGAGGAACAGGGCATCCTACGTGGGATTCCATGGAGGTAGGGCCAAAAGATGAGTGACTGTCTTTAAGTATGTCTGGGCTGCCTCTTGAGGTCCCATGCTGCCCACGTCCCGGTCAGACACCAACCCCTTTTGTCTCTGGGCTTCTCTGGGCTCACTGTTCACAGCCATCGCTCTGGGACGTGCTGCTGCTGTGTCAGCATGGCCTGGTCTACCTCAGGAGTGCACGGGACACACTCCTGCTCCCACTCTTCATTATACAAATGACTCAGAGATCTTCCCCTTTCACACCAGCCCTAGTGCTGACGCCTTTGCCTGCTCCTTGGGGAAGTACTGTGTTCAAATCAGTCCATCCCTTTTTCTAGCTGGCTTATGTAAGACAATTGGTATTTTGGAAAGAGGGAAACAAATTTAATAATTTTATAGATGGAAAGCCAAACTGTCAGCACCTTGTAGCACTTTCTAATTATGGGACAGTAAGTACGGTAAGATGCACATAAAGAACTGTGGACAGGATCCATGGAGCCTTTGCATGACTACATAAATCAGCCTCAACACTCATGTTGATGGTGAGTGTGCTGATGTGATGTAGGGGGTCTGATGGGTTTTGGTGTGTTCGGGGATGTAGGTTTTGAGGTACCGATCATCACTCTGACAGTAGTGTGATTGAGCATCTGGAGAGAGGTGTGCCCCTGCTCATGACAGACAAGAAGAAAGCAGAAAGATGTGAGAAGACTTGGTGGCTTTGTTCTTCACAGGGCTGTGGCAGTCTGTGCACATTGATGACCTCCGAAGGTCCACAGTCATGGCTGCTGATGTGACTAAGCTGCAGAGTGTCACCATCAGCCAGCTGTTCCTGCCAGGATGCAGCCCAAAGTGTGAGTTGCAAGGTGGCAGACTGCAGAGGTGGGGGCGGAAAGGCAGGTGAAAGGTGCCAAGCTAGGCAGCCTCCTGTGAAGCTGGAGTCAGGGCTGCCACCTTTGAGTCCCCTTTGAGTCTTGGCACCGCCCTCAGCAGGAACTCAGAATGTGGCACTGAACTGCCTGGCTCATGGTCCACAAAACCAGAGCCTTGGGAAGGCCCAGGAGCAGCACCTAGTGTATCAGCTGGTGTGCTGTGGGTCATGTGCCAGACTAGTGGATGACGGATGTCCCCTTAACTGGAGCTGCCACTGAAGCTTGGGACAGGAAATCCTGGTGAGGCTCAGCCTAGGCACAGACCTGGTACTACCCACGCCCTTCCTTCTCCAAGTGGTGACTTGATTGTGTTCCCTTCATTTGCAGTGAAAGGCAACCAGGAGGAGGTGATGGAGGCAGAGATCAGCAAGTCAGGGGAGGTAGCAGCAATGGAAACGGAAAAGGAGGGTTCTGAGGAGATGGAATGGGACACCGCTGACCTGCGGGGCAGTGATGTGAGTTCTCCTCTGTTCCCCTGTTGGCTGCAGGTGGCTGAGCTGGAGGAGCACAGGCAGCTGTGCCAGCGTCAGGCTGAGTCCTGCCTTCTCTTTATGCTGGAAGTGTAGGGGACTTACCAGGACAAGATCTGCCTTTCCCTTCTTTATGAAGGCTCCTAGTTAGCTCTAGGAGCTGTCCCTCAACCACTGGCCAAATTCGTGATGTCAGCCATCACCTTGCCAGTGGACCTCTCTAGGGGTGGGGCAGTACACTGGGATCAGCCCAGGGAGGTCAGTAGGTCAGCTTTACCATGGAGACTGGTCACTGTTGATTTGGGCGGGTGGACACCAGGCCACCTTCTCGTGTGGGTATCGTAGTTTTCACCCACCCTGGACATGGCAGCAGCAGATGATGTGCTGTCTCCCTTGGCAGGCACAGGTCCTGGACACCACCAGACTACTGAGGAGCTGTGTGCAAAGTGCGGTGGGGATGCTCAGGGACCAGGAAAGCTGCCTGCGCAACATGAGGAGAGTCACCATCCTCCTCAGCCTCTTGAATGGGGACAGTGTGTGCAATGGTACGAGTCATGTCCCTGCTTCTCATCCTAGTCCAGCGGGCCCTTCCTGAGCAGTGGGAATCAGGTGGCTGAGTATGGCGAGCTGCCCTTCTAGGTTCCTGTGGCTTGGCAGATGCAGCTGGCATAGCGGGAGTCTCAGGACATCTCGTGAATGTGAATTCTGCTCTAGAGTTGGCCTGGCCAGAGGACCTGTGGCTTCCCTCTGCAGGGGAACTGGTCAAGCAGCACAGCAGAGCCTCCAACTTGGTGCCCACAGGTGGACCAAATTATGTCCCTTCTGCCTTTTCACAGCCGCGTTCTTGCGGATATCTAAGATACGCCTCTCCATCCTTCTAAAGAAGCAAGAAGAGAACCAGCTCTGCAGTCTGAAGGAGTGGGTGGGGCGAGAGGCTGCGAACCAGGATGCACTCCAGGAGGCCGGCACCTTCAGGTACTGTGAGCAGCGGGCAGTGCAGGGACCTGCCATGCCATCCCAGGGGAAGGAGCACACCAGGTGTTTCTTTTTCCACCTCTGCTGAGGGTTCTTGCTCCAAGAACCCAAAACAGACCTGGATGGTGGGCATGTGTGGGTTGTTGGCCATGCAGATGGTGGTCCTGGGGTGTTTATTGGCCACCTGGATGTTGGTCTTGGTGGATTGTTGGCCACCTGAATGGTGGTCATGGGGATGGTTGGCTTCCTTTCTCTGCTTTTGTGTTCTTAACTTTTTTTCATAATAGAAAACTTTAAAAAAATTGTTCTCAGGATGTTTGCCAGCATGTCATAAACCTAAGCCAGGTTTGCCATTCAAGGTTATTAAAATTGAGATGGTGATGTGCAGGGAAGTAACAGAAATTATCTTCCCAGCCCTACAGCTTGAAGTAACAGCAAGTACAAAATAGGACCCAGGAGTGTCATTTATTATCCGTAATCATTTATTATCCTATAATACCGTGACCCTTTTCTTCAGACATGAGACAACCTTGAGGAGCCTGTGCTATGGGGACAGGAGGGTTGCTCAGGGTCTCAGATGGAGGGTCTGAGGTCTGAAACCACCTGTTGGCAGGATGATCTTAGGCCACTGAGGTTCTCCAGGTCCCTCCAGCTCTGCCCTTCTGACCCCCTGGCCGCAGGCCTGCTGCCCCACGTGGCCCACAGGGGGAATGTGGGCGATGGCAGAGTCCTGGGAGGCCAGGGCCCATGGCCGCTGGCTTCCTCACCACAGGAAGTTTTCTGTTTCAAGTTCTCTCTGCAGTGCTCCTTGACTTCTTTCCTAGTTACATCTTCTGAAGGAAGTTTGTGAGCCCAGAAACTGAACCTGCTTTTGTCTCCCTGAATGGTCTGTCTCCCTTTCCTAGCACATGTCCAAGCCATGCCCCATCGCCCCTTTGCCACTGTTGCTCTGGCCTTGCTGGGTTTGCCAGCCTCCCTTTTCACTGCCCCATGGTCTCCACAGCACCCGAGACCAGCTTCTTCCCCGTGGTCACCAGCAACACCCAGGAACAACTGGACCTGCTTGCACGGTACCCTCAATGCTCATTTCTGAGGCTGGCAGGATGTCATGACACTTCACCAGCACTGTGTGTCCGGGACTTAATGTCACATACCCTTGGGGCTAGATAGCCAGCCTCCTTGGAGTCCTTTACGCCAGGAGTCCTCTGGTTTTTAGTTCATCATGTTATGCAGCCTGTTGCCTTCATTTTTTTTTTTTTTTTTTGATTCTCAAGTTGTTTTAAATTTGGTCTCTTGGAGACCCTCTGCGGTGACTGTTATTCTGGAGCACTTTTCAGGGCTCTCAGCTGCTCCGGCCCAGGGCCCCTTTCACCGCCTCCCCCACATCCACTGTGTGTGTTCTAGTCTGGGGTCTTAAGTCAAGGTCATTGTCCTTGCCTAATGGGATCTTTTCTTTCTCAGTAGATGTTTTTAAATTATCTCCAGAATCCTGTGTACTATATATCCAGAAAAAAATTCCCTACAAAGGGCTGCACTTTTTTCCCCCAAAACAAATATTTATTAATTCTTGTTTTTTATCATGAGAAACTGTAGCATTTTTCATTATGTAAAAAATATATCATTTTAGCATGAACGTTAGATGTAGTTAATTTAACCAATTAAGCACTGTCAGTCTGAAGTACTCAAGGTTAGTTACAGAAACACCTGTAAGAAAAGCCGAATTCTAGATAAAAATGTTTTTTTATTTAACTTTGTATCAAATTTAGTTTGATCTCTTCATCTTTATTATATTTTATCTATAGCTACTTTTTTTCTTAAAATATTTATTTAATTTTTTTTAGTGAAGTTGATCCTTATTTGATTTGTTTATAGAACCTAGTAGGCTTGTTCTGAAAAAAAAATCATATAAAAATGCAGCAAATATTTCTTCACCTTTTCAAGGCACTAGTTACTGTTACTAGATGTAGAATTAAGTTCTATCCAGGCCTGCTAACTAATCTTAAGACAATTACATCTGTGAGTCTGTTGTACTTAAAAGTGATAGAAACTTCAATTTGCAGCCCTGGCTTGTAAGCTAGATGGCTTGTTGACACAGAGGAAGGAGGTGTCAAGATCAGCACTGGCTGTGATACCGAGCCACTGTCCCCTGTCCCCTCTCCCCTGTCCCACTCTGCTGCAGGCATACCCTTTGGAAGCGGGTCCAAGGCGCAGTCACCCCTCTGCTGGCCAGCATGATCTCTCTCATCGACAGAGATGGCAACCTGGAGCTTCTGATCAGACGAGACTCACCAGCCTGGGCCCGGGACCTGTGGATGTTTATTTTTAGTAACACTAAGTTGCTGAACATTCCGCTTGTGATGAATAACATAAGGTGAATAAAAATCCACACGGCACCCTCAGTAGCTCTCCTGGGCTTGAGAACGTAGGCTCTGTTTTCCAAGGAACGTTTCGCCAGCTCCTTCTACATCCTAGAGGCCATGGCATCCTGCAGGCCTTTGTTGCATCTCCTCTCTCCTTATTTCCTTCTCTCAGGGCAACTGTGATAGCTCAGAAAGCCAGGTTGGACTCTGTGTGCAGTGGGGACACTGCCCTTTGGAAAGAATATGTCCTTAATCATGCTCATGTTCCATTATGCATGATCTCCCTCATCGACAGAGATGGCAACCTCGAGCTTCTGATCAGACCAGACTCACCATCCCTATTTTGTGTGGGGCCTTCCCAAGTTTCCTGTTCAGATTGCAGGGACTTCAGTTCTGGAATGTAGGCCAATAAGGTGCAGGAGAGGGACAGGTGCAGGCACTGGAGACTTGGTTCTGCCTGAGGCTTTGGGCCCCTCCTAGGCCCTGCATAGGTGGCCTGCTTCGTTCTGTCTGTAAACAGGGGTTATGAGGTAGCCCACCAGTTCTTGTTCAGCAGGAGTCCTGGCCATCAAAGGAGACAGCAACTGTCTGTGCAGCCTTGTTTTATTTTGATGTGGTGCAGGGGATGGAACCCAGGGCCTTACACATGCCAGGCAAGCACTCTACCGTGGAGCCACCTCTGGCCCACAGCACCTTCACCTCTCATTCACCTCACCTCACTGCAGATCCAAGAGTGAGATGTCCTCCATCGTGGTGCAGAACTATATGAACCTTCCCGAGGGTGCTTGCAACAGTGTCCCCTTCAGCTGGAGAATCAGGGACTATGTGGAAGAGCTCTGGGTCCAGGCCCAGTACATCATGGATGTAAAAGGTGAGACCTGCTCAACGTGGGCCCAATGCAGCCCTGGTGAAGCAGCCTTTATCCACAAAGACACTGCCTGACCATCAGTGGGCAGTCAGCAGCCAGCACCTGGTAAATTCTGGGACTTGTCGTTTTCACACTTTGCATGTGGAATAGGCTCAAGTTCATGTCCTGCCTTCATTTTGAAATTTCTGCTGAAGGAGTGAGAGTCATCAGGAGGTCAGAAGCCTGTAAGTCACACCATCAAGTGAGCCTGTGAGGTGATTTAGTGGTGTACTGACCAGCAGGCTGGTGAACTGGAGCATGTTCCAGCAGGGACGGGGCTTGCTACCTGCTGCAAGTTGACCATTCCTGTCCTGAGGCTCAGACCCAGGAAAGGTCCCCTTTAAACTTTCTCAGCAAATGCTAGCAATGAAAGTGTGTCCCCTTCTTCCATGATAAGCCGTTCGTCCATCCTGAGTCACACAAGCTAGAGAGTGTGTGCTTGGCTGTCACTTGCTGGGGGCTGAGTTTGGCCATAGTCATTCCAAAAAAGCCAGTGGCAGGGCTGTGTTTTTGGAAGTCATCTTTCATGTATACATGACCTCATCTTTTCAGCATTCACTTAGAGAACCAGTATGTTCAAAGTGAACTTGTTTTCCTGGGTCTGTATTCTGCTGCATGTCCTAAACCAATGGGAAGCAGTCTTTTCCCTGCTGAGAGGGTGTTTCTTCACCTGGGGCAATGCCCTACCCAACCCTGCTGGTCCAGCAGAGTGTGCAGCTGGGAGCCAACTCCCCATCTGCTGGAAGGCGAATCTCCCTGGTTGGCATAGTCTCTGGCCCCAGCCCTGATGAGTAGCCCACTCAGTTCTGATTCCCTGGGAACCCAGGGTTACTGGAGCCCATTACACCTAACAGACGTACAGCACAAAACTCAGACTCCCTCAGATGTTTTTTCGTGTTGGGGCTAGCATGGCCTAAATTGAATGTTGATCCTGCCTTCCTTTCTGTGTCCCCTGGTCTATACATCCACCACTCTCTAGTCCCGTAAGGCAACCAATATCACTTTGTCTCTGAGTCACCCCCAGGGGCTGCTCTAGCCTATGGCTCTCCTTCCTGGGGAGCAAGCTTCTCTTAGCTTGTGGCTTCAATTGTCTCAAGCTACTCTGGTTTCCTCCCTGCAGGACGGTCAGATAAGTTAGTAGAAATCTTCCAGCAGACTCCCCTGGGCATGTTTCTTGCCAAGCTCCCTGGAGAGCAGCAGCAGGAGCTGGTTCAGTGCTACTTGAGGGACTTCTTGCTCTTCACCATGAGAGTGTCCACCTGGGAGGAGCTGAAGGTAGGTATCCACTCAAGGTCATGTGTGGAAATTGCATGGTCTGGACTGGGGACAAACACGGGAACTCAGCTTCTGAGAGCTAGTGCTACCATGTAGGGGAACAGAATGAAGCCATGCAGAACGCTAGGCTAAGAATGTCCCCTGAGCTGCTCAGAACACAGGGCCAATCCTCGTCACTCCCCAAGGCCTCCAGGAATGCACATTCTAGTACCTTGAGAAGCTCTCCAGATTCCTTGTATCACCCCTCTTGAAATTGTTGAGTTTCTCTTGACAAAATTAAGATAAATATGTAACTGACCTCTTAAAGTAAGAATAATGAGTGAAATTCAGTGGAAAGATTGATAAGTTTTGTTTTTGGTGCTGGGGAGAAAACCTAGAGCCTCAGTCCCACCAGGAAAGTGCTGACTGCAGAGCCAGAGCCCAGCCCAAGATGGAAACTCAGCTGCCTGGTAGTCACACGCAGAGCAGAAAAAGAAGGTGGAGAATATGAGAGAATATACTCTAGCCAGCATGACAAAAGGTTAGCGAGGAGTTTGCGGAGAATGAGCAGAATATACTCTTATTTTTAAAATGGGTAGAAGTTACACCAGCTACACAGGGTGTAATCATGCAAGTTTCTAGAAAGCTTTGCTCACATGCTCAGCCCTATCAGTGACTCAAGAGAACATATAGAGTCTCTAGATGCCAGTTGTACTGCTCATCTGGCAAAACTGAGTTTTCAAAAAGAAGGGAGGGCTTACAGGCTTCCTGGGCAGATGCTGAGCAGTGGTCACATGGCAGGGTGAATGGAGAGCCTGCCCCGCCACCACTGCTCAGCAGAGGCCAGGCAGGTGCTCACAGCAAGGTTTTCCTGCTTTGTGTCTGATCATGAAGAATTAGAAACAATTTAAGTGTCCAAATAAATGAAGAAGGGACAAATTACAGTATGTCCATTTTAAAATGGTTGTTTGCAACCATTGAAAAAACAATGTTTGCACAGATAATGAGTGATAGAGGATTCTCATAATCTAATCTTGAGTGGAGAAAATCAGGAACACAGTGATCTTGATTTGAGGATGATTCTGAGGAAAGGCACAGCTAGGAAAATGGCTAGAGGCTCTACTGAAAAGCAGTCGGAAGATAGGAAGTCTGGGTTGTAATTCTCTTTTTTGTGATTTTTGAATAGTTCTGATTTCCCACAGGAAAACATCTCTTTATAATTAAAAAATTCATTCTGAAAACCTTTCAAAACCCCAGTTTCTGCAGATGGCGCTGTGGTGCTGTGTCTGTGAGCTGCGGGCAGCCTCAGGGAGGCCCGAGGAAGGGCTCTCCCTGCCGTGGGTGCACCTGGCCTATCAGCATTTCAAGACCCGGCTGCACAACTTCTCCAGAATCTTGACCATCCACCCGCAGGTTCTGCAGAGCCTCACTGAAGTTGTACAGAAGCACGACATGGCTGGCAGTGAGATGGTACAGCCCCTCGGGAGGCGCCTGTCCCCAGGAGCACAAGGAGAGATCCTTTAGGGCCCTGGGAGTCAGCCTAGCCCAGAGGTGTTGGGAACAGCTGGATAGTGCTTCCTCTATCCCAAGACCCAAAGGAGCAGGTTATGAGCCTGGAATGCAAGGACACACTCTGCCAGGACCTCTGGCCGGTGGGGTCCTGTGGGGTCATGTGACCACTCTCCTCTTCCCAGACAATAGATGTGTTGGCTGCAATGGCCTGTGCTGAAATGCTGATAAGAGACACCCTGAAGCCGAGTCCCCAGGCCTGGCTGCAGCTGGTGAAGAAGCTGTCCATACCGCTGGAGCTCGTCTGCTCGGATGGGTACTTGCGAGGCAGTGGGAGCACAGCCAGAGCTGTCACTGTGGAGGTCAGGTGAGACCCAGAGCCCGGCTCTCCCTGGCATGCTCGGCCTGTGATCATCAGTGGACTCCAGGTCCTGGCACACCTGGCAGCAGGGTGAGCAGGTGCTCCTGCCACGGGCAGGGCTCTTTGTGCACTCACTCTGCGCTTGATGAACCCTGTCAAGTGCCAGGCATCTCGTTAGATGCTTGAGAAAGAGGAGAACCACATGCAGGGAGGCCATGGTGCCCCAGAGCCACAGAAAGGCAGGTTATTCAGCTGCACCTGGAGAACCACTGTGGTGGCAGGGAGCCATTAGAATGGACCGGGGCAGGGAGGGCAAGCAGAGGGGCAGGCCTTCAGGGTGGGGAGGGTCCCAACCTGTGCTCTGCTGTGAGGGTCAAGAGGAACTCACTGTGTGCAGGATTATGAGAGAGTGAGCACAGTGGCTGAGCATGCTGAGATAGCAAAGTGAGACCCAAAGTCCTGCCTGCATGGAGAGCTGGGGGAGTGCTGAGGGCAGGGCTGGTGGATAATCTCTCCTGTCAGCTCGCCTTCCCGCCTTCCCGTGCTGCCTTACACCTGCCTTCTCATCCCTCCTCCTGTCTCAGAGTTCTCTTTTAGAGCTGAGTGTGTAACACCCTCTTTCGACAGAACCCAGTGGAGTCGTGTTTTCTCTATTGCACTCTTTGTGGAACATGTGCTCCTGGGGACCGAGAGCCAGATTCCTGAGCTGGGCCAGCTGGTGACCAAGTTCGTCTTCTCACTAGACAAGGTGAGCACTGGGCATGTCTCTTGGTGGGATGCAGAGACATGTGTTGTTCATGAGTTTGCCCTGCCTGACTGCTGTATCGTGGCATGTCACTTAGGGATAATAATGACTTTGGCAGGAAACTTGCTTGTGGATGCTTTGCAAGAGCTGAAGAGTTAGGCTCCACCCACCTCCAAGCTGACCTAGAGCAGGCCAGCATCCTAGCCCTCAGGGGCAAAGTCACCACCACCCTGAGCAGGGTGAAAGTGATGCAGGAGAATGCCACTGGAGTGGGGGACTTCCAAATACATGCAATTCATAGGACCACGGGAATAGAAAACCACTGAGCCTCTGCTCCCAACACCAGATAAAGCCAATGATAGTACAACCAGTGCCCCTCAGAGAAAGCCACCATCCTGTGGCTAGGCTGTCTGGCAACAATGGTCACTCAGCACAACCAGATTCCCACCTCTTTCACCCCATGACCTGGGCTAGGGTCACTGTTGTGTGATCTCATCCTGTGGTTGGAATGCCATTGACCTCCAGAGTGCCCACTGTCAGGGTGTCTGAGAAAGGCCATTGTAGACAGGTATGCAGCCTTTGAAATGCAGGCAGGCACATAGGAAATAGATTGGCATCCCCAGACTTGACCAGAATGTCAGAGGCCTGGTGACTGTTGTGATTGCTGTGAACTTTGGTGTTCACCAACTTGTTTGAGGCCTGCTTTTACTTCTTTTGGATGTATAACTAGAAGGGGACTCACAGTATCAATTTATTAAATTTCTCTGTCTCTCTCTCTCTCT